CAATTATAATTTGCAACCTGATACATATTGATAGATTTTCACAGCCCTAAATATATTATAGAATAGTTAGGGAAAAAATGATAACCATTTCAAAGAAGTGATTATGACCTAAGTTGTCTTTATGTAACTAGACCAACATTCCAGTTTTTCTTATCTCATTTCATTGAATTTTCAGTATTCCAATTATTATCATTGTTAATAGATTCTCAGATATTACACAGTGTATTAGTCATGTTCTCCAGAGACACAGAACCGAAAGGACATATACAAATATATGAGGGGAGCTATAATATAGGGATTGGCTCACATGGTATGGAGGCAGAGAGGTCAGGCTATCTGCTAGCTGCAAACTGGACAACCAAGAAAGCTGATGGTGTAATTTATCTGGAGTCCAAAGCTAGGAACCAGGACAGCAGATGGTGAAACTCAGTCTGAGACCAAAGGCCTGAAAAGGGAGGGCCTAGTCCTAGAGCCTGAAGGCCCAAGAACCGTCGCTGTAGGGCAGGAGAAGATGAACATTCCAACTCAGGAAGAGAGATAAAGAAGAGAGAATTTGTCCTTCCTCCCCTTTTGTTCTTTCCAGTCTTTCATGGACTGGATGATGCCCACATTGGCAAAGGCAGAACTTCTTCACTCAGTCTACTAATGCAAATGCTAACCTTCCCAGAAATACTTTTACAGACACACCCAGAAGTAATGTTTTACCTGTTATCTGGGCATCCCTTAACCCAATCATCTTGACACCTACAATTAATCATCATGCATGGTAATTATCATGTTATTTCTACTACCCCCTTGCAATCCCAACACACATTCATTCACAAGAGAAACCCACTTTAGTGGACAGAATTATAGATCTTCATTTTCCATTTTTCCCTCTCATCTCACTTTCCAAAGTTTCAGGCTCTTGGCTCATATGTCACTTGTTAACTCCTTCCCACTTGGAGTCTTTTAGCAGCTATTTCTAGCATTCCTTTCCACTTTGGAATCCATATCTATACTGTTAGTGGAGTTGCCTTCTGTTACGGGGTGCAAAGGACAAATAAAGCCATAGCATAGTCACTGTATTTTCAGTGAAGGAGAGCAGCTCAGTGTTGGACCTATATGAGATTGTACAAAGGCAACCAAACAATGCAAAGGTGGGGGAAGAAAAAGAATATTGGGCTGAAAGAAGTAGGCCCATTATTGTCCAAATATCTACATGTTGTATTATTGAGATAAGTATTAGACAATTTTATTTTACTCAAAATGGAGATCTATCACTGTCACCTCTCTCTCTTTAAGACACAACCTTTTACTTGCTGTTGTTTAAGAATTTTAAAAAGGTTTCAAGTGTTTATTTTCTAATAAGACAAGAGAGTTAAAGTGAAACTATCTGTGACAATTAACATGTTGAGGTTGCTTTTGTTTTTCAAAACATAAATTATATCTGATTGAATTTTTTACACTACTGAGATATAATTCATATATCACACAACAAACATTTAAGGTGAATAGTCTATTTATTATTTCATTCCTTCTCCTATCTTTAGGCTCAGTTTGCTTCTCTTTTTCCAGTTGGTTGAGGTAGAAGACTGAGATACTGGTATCGTATTTGAGGGACAAAAACATCATCAGCTTGGTTTGAGAGTCAGAGAGTGTACAAAATTATGAGAGACCATTAGAGCCCCAGAAATCTATTAGCAAGAAGAAAACTGGGAGATCTATTCAGGTATGTCAGCAGCAAATCTCATTCCCTGGCCTCAGTTCTTGAGTTCAGCCAAGAAAGAACTCAGAGCCAAACTCTTGAGCAAGCAAGCATTTATAGCTGTGAAAGCAAAAACACGCTGTGGAAGTGGGAAACCAGCAGGCCCAGAGGTGTCAACTGCATCAGGGGCAGAGTAGTCTTTCCTTTTTTATATTTAAATAGGTTTTGATAGCTCCTGTCAACTTTTCTTACTGGTTGGGAGGGGGAGTCTTTGTACTTCAATGGGTTCTGGCACTGTTATGGCAGCCATCCCCACAATGGGGGTCAAAACCACAGTGTAAATGTATTATAATAAAGCTATAGATGACTCTAGTGGTCAGAGGGGAAAATGCATGTGTGTTCCTGGGGTCTCTTCTGGCTCTTTGAAACTCAGTTTCTGCCCTTCCTAATAGTCAGAAACATCTGTTCCCTGCTCATATTTAGCTAACTGCCTACTCTGTCAGTTGCGAATGCATGTTATGTTTCATGAAAAGAAAAAGAAAAAGAAAAAGAAAAAGGAAATATGACTAAGAGGATAGTACCATGAGCCCTGAGGCCAGAATTAAAATTCATTGGAAATTATTCCCTGGCCTGAAACCTACTCAAAGAACTGCCAAAATTTGACTGGTTGGATGTCACAATTTCTATGAACTAGTTTCTTCCTTTGTCCAAACAATTTTTCTTTTTTTGTTTTGAACTGGAATATTAATAGTGGCTATCCTCTGCCTATCCAGATATTCTGTGTTGGGTGTCTGTTGAGGAAAGGGAGGCCAATTACCTACCTCTTTACTTTCTCAGACCCACAGAGTTGGAGAATTCACACTTGAGATGCTATACCTAAGCAACTACATTGGCGTTGCTTTATTTATACCTGCACCTGATTTAGATGTTGAGATTATGGACTCTGAACTGATGCTATAAAGATGAGACTGGAAGGGATAGAGTACATTTTACATAGTTGTTTTGTATACAAGTTGTTTGTGTGATTTGCCATGCATTTCTGCCCAGAGCCCCACATACATAATTATGAGGGCCTTGGTTGGCTTATAATTCGCATCTTGCCTTGTGATCAGAACTGGCCTTTCTGTTCCTGACACCACACCGAGAGGGATTAACTTGCCAGAACAGGCTAGCCCCCTGGAATGGATCAGGGAGGAAAGAGAAAATGCAGACACCCAGGCTTCTAAGATTGTGAAATACGATAAGAAACAGAAAAAAAAAAAAAAAAGGCTCACTCAGGACTCCACTTAGGTGAATTTAATGACTAACCATAAATCACAGATGGATAGTATATATATTTCTCTGGCAGGAATAGCTAGCTGTGTGGGAGCCCGACAGTGACCACAAGAAAGCGTGGTTAGGGACGTGGGGATGTGCCTGCACACGGGGCTCCCTGCCTGGGCAAGGCATGCCTGCAAACAGGATGCTCTGCCAGGAGGCCTGCACACAATATCCAAGTTTAATGGTCCGCTCGCAAACGAGGGAACATGCCCTCCTTAGAAGTAAGGAGAAGGCTGGAATTGTGAGCAGGCCTCTTAGTAAACATGTTGTGGTCGCTTCCTCCCTTTTCTCCCCCCGTCCTTGAAAGGTGTTTGGCTACTTGCCTTAATTGGGAATTAAGGAATGCATCTTGTAGATTTCAGTTTGTATCCAGTTACCGGGTATAAAATAAACCGCAAGAGGGGCTTGCGTAGAATTGTTCCTCCCGCCGGAGTTGTATCTGTGTCTGTCTTTTGTGTGTGTCTTGTCCTCTGTGTCATTTCGTCTGCAACATAGCTGGAAGTCTCACCTGAAGGGAGACTCTCTGCCCAGGACCCTCAGTTGAGACTTTAACCTGGTTGTTCACTGAGGGGCTTCCTTAGCCAGAAGGTTGGATGTTGTGAGTACTCAATTTGATGTATTAAGCTTTCTTCATTCTTCTGTATTCTTCTCTCCCTCTTCCTGTTTACTTTAATTGTTTCATTCCTTATATTCCCTTTCCCTTATAATTAATAAAGTTTTCCTCCATGTAAACTGAAAGCATGGCTATCGTGAATTACTATTATTCAGAACAGCAGTAGAAATCTATGACTCATTCCTAAGGGAAACTGTGGTAGGCAGGCTCTAGTATGCCCCCAATGAACTTTGCTTCCTGGTTCATGCTCTGATGTAATTCCCTTTACTGAATGTGGGCTGTACTTATCTACTTGCTTCTAATGAACAAGTATGGCGGAAGTAATGGGATGCCACTTCTGGTATTAAGTTTTAATAAGAGGTTTCCATCTTGAGAATCCTTTCTTGTTTCTCTGTCACTCTAACTTTAGTTGTCTATATCTCTTACTTTTCTTTAAAGAAAGCAAGGTTGTCACAGTGTCTATATTTCCGTGGAACTGGCCACATGATAAGAGCCTGTTGTCTTAAGCCAACAGCCTCTTGAGTGTGCTTAGAAGCAGTTCCTCCTCCACATGAGCCTAAAATGACTGCAGTCAACATCTTGATTGCAGCTTTGTGAAATTCGCCCTTAGTTAAATTCGTCCAACTACACTGTTCTCAAATTCCTGCCCTACAGAAACTGGGTGGTCTTTGTTTTCAGCTGCTAAGTTTTGGGATAATTTGTTACACAGCAATGAATAATGAATACATTAAGTTATGAAATATCTTACTAAACCTCAGCTCTGGCTTCTGGAAATCCTTTTAAATAACAAAAGATGAGAAGAAATGGCATGTTATAGCTCCCAGAAATTATGGTTCTCTTTAACTGTAATGCATTTCTTTTGCTAAAACATAGAATGTGGGCATATTCATTACCCATGACACACATACCAAAGCGATATTTTTATTTGTAAATACTACAACAAATTTCAAGCATGTCATCTAAAAATCTGTTCAGTGTTGATAAAGCTGTTCTTCAGTTGTGCCAGAGGGGAGTTTAGAAAAGGATAAGATTCAAGCACAAATAAATTGCTTAGTAATAATATATATTATTTAGTCATATATATAATATATATACAATATATCAATATATATACTTTATGAGACCAAAATAATAAGATAATCAAACTCTCAGCCTGAATTCATTGGTCATCTGAGAGACTGGATTTCATTGTTCTGTCTTGTAATTTTGAATACTATATATTTCATTGAAGTTACATATAAAAAATGGATCAGTTATACCAATGATATTTCAAAATCATTGTAGCCTTTGCTATGAAATGAAAAACAAAATAAAATATGTTACTCCAAATCTGATTAAATTAACATAAAAGTTAAATTGACATTTCATAAGTTATTTTTTAAAAATATGGAACAATGAATTTGTGTGTCATCCTTATGCAGGGGCCTTACAGATTTTCTCTGTATCATTCCAATTTTAGTATATGTGCTGCTGCAGTAAGCATGTTAAATTTTGTTCCAATAGAATCCTTATTGCCTAGCAATTTGATAAAGAATATTATAAAAATATACCATCACTAATTTGAAATTGAATTATTTGCTACTTAGGTTTTTATAGCTACCATGCTAAATGGGAATATTAGCAATGCATGTATTTTTTTCTACTTAATGGATTATAGTTTGTCTTCCCACTTTGCCTATTTTTTGTATGCCTGGAAATTAGGAGATAGATACGTATCTTCTTTTCTTTGCCCCAGAACATGCTCTTAAATCATTGTTCCTTGTTGTCATACACTGTTTTTTTATTGATTAGATATTTGTTACTGAGCAAGTTGGTTATATCAATAAATTGTCAGACTTAGTTATAACATTAACAGAAAGATGTAAGTATAATACAAATAGTACCTTCCTAGTACTAAATAAAGAATGGTCCTTGAGGTCAAGAAGCATAGAGTCAAGGAAATTAAATAATTAAACAAAGAATTGTGATTAAGTGTGTTAGGGGTATAAGTTAAGTGCAAAGGATTTAACACCATTGATGATGGATTATAAAATTTGGGTTATGGAGAAACGTGAAGACAAGATATCTTCATAAATGATGACCCCCATGTGAAGTAAATGGATTAGAGAGATTGACAAAGTCAAAGAATTACAAATGCAGATCTTAATTTTAGCACAAATATGCTATGAAACCTATGTCGCTGGAAGAGCTATCAGAATAAGGAAAGTCTTCTTTTTTATGAAAGAGCTCTTCTTCGTCACACTAATACTTATAGAGAGATTTGGAATTGTGCTGTGAATCAGAGAAGGGGAATGTGTGTTTGTTTCAACATTCTAGGAAAAACTACATTATATCTCCAACAACCTATATTAGTGAGAGATAAAATGTGTGGCCATGATATCATGTGATGTATGTATTTGATACCATGATTCTAGACTTAAATTCCCTTAATTTTAAAACAGACATTGGTACTGATTCCATTATGTCCAACATCCCTCTGTATTTTTGCATCTACCAAAAATCTTAAACACCTGTTTTTTTTTCTTTTTATCAAATGGACTCCTATTTCATTTCAGTGTTCTGAATTGCATAATCTCATGCTCCATCTTCCTTCTCAAAACTTTCATTATGCTTGTTAGAGCTCTTGATCTGTGACCACTTTACTCTCATTAACTTAGAATAAAATGGACAATAGGGCCAATTTTTGTCTGACTTGCTTTTGCTTCTCTAATGTCACCTCACTTTCTCCCCAGCTCACTATGTTCTAGCATCATTGGTTCTGACTGGCTCTACAACATGCTATATGCTTTCCTATTTCAGGTACTTTGCATTTGATTTCCCTTATGTCTAAAACTTCATCTGCTGGTTCTTTGGTGCCCAACTCCTTCAAGTAATAATTCCTTCAAGTAATAATTTAGACTTTCTCTACATGAAGTCTATCCTTAGCTCCTGTCACCTTAATGGGTAGCCTCTCATACTCAGTAATATTATCTATTGAATCTCCCTTCTAATTCTGTTTCAGGGGTTTGATTTTGTTGTGTGTTCATTTGTTGTTTATTGTATGTAAGTCTCACTTCATAATGAGGATACACCTGGGTGGCTCAGTCGATCAAGTATCCGACTTTGGCTCAGGTCATGATCTCGCAGTTTGAGTTCGAGCCTTACTGTCAGACTGTCTGCTGTCAGCACAAAGCCTACTTCAGATCCTGTATCTTCCTCTCTTTGTTTCTCCCCTCCTCTTTCAAAAATAAATAAAAAATTAAAATAAATAAAAATAAAACAAGAAATGTTTAATGCAATATTGCTTTCAATATACTAGTAGCAAACGGTTCTGTATTGTCTGTGTGACATATCTGTGTGAAGTAGTAGGTATTGAATAGTATAAGATATGCAATTTCTTTTCTAATACTTAGTTACCAAAAACGAAAAACAAAGTAAAAACCATTTAGTACATGGAAAGCAATATTGCATTAAACATTTCTTAAGGGTTCTGAGACAGTTAATATATTCCTGAAACTTAGATTATTATAAATGAGTCATTTTCAGCAGGGAACATTCTTATTTTTCTGAAAATTGAAGTCTTTTATTCATGATACCATTATTTTTAAGGTTCTTAACTTTATGTATTTTTTCTCTTCTTTCCACAAAGGCAAAGAAATGGGCACTATAAAAGGAACAATCGTATTCTCTGATCCCTTATAATCATTCAAACAAGCTAATTATTAACATGTAGCTTTTCAAGTTTGAATCTTCAGACACACACTTTGAGGGAGAAAAATGGAGTAATTAGACCTGGTTTCTATGAATACTCCCATTTATGGAATATATATTATTTTTTAAAAATTTCTTTTAATGTTTTATTTATTTCTGAGAGAGAGAGACAGCATGAACAGGGGAGGGTCAGAGAGAGAGGGAGACGCAGAATCTGAAACAGGCTCTAGGCTCAGAGCTAGCTGTCAGCACAGATCCTGATGCGGGGTTGGAACCCATGAACTGTGAGATCATGACCTGAGCCAAAGTCCATCATTTACCCAACTGAGCCACCCAGGCGCACTTATAGAATATATATTCTAAGCTACATTGCTAGGTGCTTTGTCCTATCTCATTCTATATCATTTAATTTTTGGCTTGTACTAACAATGTTGTGACTACTAATGACAATAAGAAGATAACAAGTGAAAGATAAATTAAAAAAGACAAAAAATAAGAGGAAACTCAGTTTGAAAGATTAAGAATTTTCCTGAAGGTAGTTACAAAAGTGTGTGTGATGGTTAATGTTATGTGTCAATATGATTGGGCCATGATGCTCAGATATTTGATGAAATATTATTTACATATCTGGGTGTTTCTGTGAGGATGATTTGGGGTGATATTGACATTTAAATCCATGGGCTGTCTGTATAGCAGATTGTCGATAATTTGAGTGGGCCTCATCCAATCAGTTGAAGGTCTGACTACAACAAAGACTTATCTCTTCTGAGCAAGTGGGAATTCCACTTTGAGATGACACTCAGACCAGGACCACAACATCAACTCCTCCCTGGATTTCCAGTCTGCATATTTTGGAACTTGTCGTCTTTGTAACCATATGAGTCAGTTCCTTAAAATAAATCCCTGTAGATACACACATGCTGTTGATTCTGTTTCTCTGGAGAACCCTGAAATACAGAGTAGATCAAGGATTATAACCCATAGCTATCTGATCCCAAAGCCCCTACTCTTACCAAAATACACAATATACCTTCTTGGAAAAGATAAACCTCAAAGAAAAATTTGGTCAGACTTTAGAGTATAGCATATTTTAGCTGATAGTTTAGGCAATTGGGTAAAACCAGGGTGAAAGATTAAATTTCTAAATTAATATAAAGGAGAAATAATAGCATCCTACAGTAGTTGAGAACACAGAATTGAGACTAGGAAGCCCAGTGTTTCAATTCCAGCTCTACTGTCTAACTGGGAGTGCTTGGGCAAGTTCTTTAACCTCCCTGTAATGAAACCTGTAGGAACCCACCCAGACCTGCTTGGATCTAGATCCCTTTAACTGATTTGTTCATTCCAGCTTGCTTCACCTATGTGTCACTTGCTTCAAACTGCTACAGTAGGGACTTTATTTGGAGGATTCTCATTGCAATTAGAGCTGTTTTAACTGTAGGCAGACAGATAGGACGTGCCTAGAAGCTTATAATTGCCTGGGGTCTTGTTAGCCAAGGACTAACTGGTGTAGTAGGGTGAAAATTCAGCTCATTTGTCTTCAGGATAATAGAGAACGCCTAATTTATATTCTAGAACTTCCCTCTGGGATAAGGCCATGCTTAGCTAGAAATTACACCTTACTTGGTTTCTTCATCTTCCCAACCTGCTTCCTCTATTCCTTCTGGTTTCTCCTGGGAGCACTTTCTAGATAAATCATTTGCTTAATAATTCTCTTCCCAATCTCCTTTGGGGAAAATTGAATAAAGACATCAAGTTTCCCATCTCTACAGTTGGAATGCAATCTTTAAATCAAAGGTTGTTGTGAGGGTAAAGTGAATTAGTACATACAAAACACTTATGACAATAACTAACACATTTAATGTGATAAATATGTCTTAGTATGTTAATTATAAAATAGTGAAACAATATGTGTTCAATTAAAACAACAAAAATCTTGTCTAATGCTTACTACATAGTATACACATCCTATGCATCAAAAAACATATTTACTCTCAAGTATATTCAATCTATATAGAGAGACAAGCTAATATGAATAAGTGCAATCTAGTCAATATTATGATAGCAATACATATTGAGGGCTAATGGTTTTCTAAATAGTAATATAAAAAAGTCATCTTGGAAACAGAACTCAGTTCAAGTAATCAAAGAAGGTATTTGTCAAAAAGCCTAAGTAGGGATTACACAATTCAAAAAGTGTAGAGGATGATGGGGAGTGAAATAGATACAACAATATACGCAAGGTTTGAAAGATTTGGAAGAGCCTTACAAATTATTATTATTTGAGTTGAGTGTAAATGTATGTCTTTTGATGTGCATTTGCCTGTAAGTGTACATAAAAGTATGTGGTGGTATATGTGTATGTGTGTGTGTGTAGTTGGGAGTGTATTGTGTGTGGGAGAGAGAGTGAGAGAGACAGAGAGCAGGTATACACGTGAGTCTGTTTGAGGTGTATTTAGGGGAATAGGATTGGCATGGGGGCTGAAAAGATAGGCAGAAACTGTGTTAGCATTCTATGATATACTCAAGAGTTTGTATTTGATCTTAAAGACAATGTCAAGTCAAGGATAGATTTTAGTAGGGGAATTGAAAATTCAGAAGACAAGTTTGGCAACTATGTTAAGAATGGAATTGGGGGAAAAGATGATAAATAGGTTTTCAACTCATGTGCCAACTCTGATCAATTGGTAGTGGCTGCCTGGAGTTCGTGTTGAGGAAGATTTGGAGGTGTTGTCCTGGCTAAATTGGAAAGAACTCCATGACTGAGTATCAGTGTCTTTCATTTATTTCTCA